CAGGGGGAAAGAGAAGGGCAGTAGTGACATGGAAGTCCTTCACCACCCATGTGGCTCAATGACAGATGGACTTGGGAAATATGGACACTAGACTTACAGGCCAGAGTCTGAAGTGGCCTTGGGGCTGGAGGTAGGTGGAATCAGTGGACCCCTACCAAGGGGCAACTCACCTTTCCCAGAGTTTACCCTTTCCAGGAAGGATGAGATGGCTATAAGGTCCCTACCTCTGCAAGAATGCAGATGCTGGTGTGTGTGTCTGTGTGTGTTTACTTGAGCACTCGTGCACACTCAAAAACATGAGTAAATATAGGTCATCTTTCTGACAGTCCTGTGTATTGTATTGTGCAAATGTCTGACACAAAAACATGTCATTTATTCTGTTCTAGTGGAGAGGAAGAAAGGCATGAACACTTGAAAATGGCAGCTAATTTGAAAATCACATTGGACTAGGTTTTTGTGCTCACATGGGACATGATAACATTTGATGAATTGGGAAGGAACCACACTGCCACTACCAGTGCTCCTCAGGAGGAAACCACCCTGTCCTTCCATGTCCTAACATGTGCTGCTAACTCCCTCTGTCCCTGCCCTGACCTATGTGACCTATGTGACCAGGGACAGCGAGAAGGGCTGGGGGTGTTTGGGGGCAGATGCAAGAGCCTGGAGAGAGCACCAGAGCTCCTTGGAACAGAGCACATCCAGGAGCAGACAATGGGCTCTTCTGTAAAGAGACATGTAGGCAAAGCATGTGATCAGGCATTATACTGAGTGCCCCATACATAAACATTTCTAGAACTTCATCTGCTGAAGCCCCGAAAGCCCCTTTCCAGGCTGCATCAAGAAACACCAGGTTTCCTTATGTTTCTGGGCCAAATGTTCCCCTGGGACACACAGGGTGGAAATGTAGTCATGGGAAAAGAAGGCAAGTCTACTCAGCAATGTGCAGGTAACCTCACTGGCAGTCTTCAGTAGTGTGATATTCTGCTGATACCACATTTTGCATTGATGAAAAATCTGTTTTTTGTGGAGACTTTAAGCTGGAAATCCTTCTGAAATGTTGAGTTTCTTGTCTCAACAAGAACAGCTGAGTGATGGACCTAGAACCCTGTTTGGTGATCTGGGACTCTGCACAGCCTGGGGCTTAGTTCTCTAGTCTCCAGTTCTTATTTATGCTGCTCAAGGCATGACAGATAAAGCCCTTTAAGGTACTAATTAATCTCTCTCTCTTTACTGTTATTTACAGCTGATTAAATACATGATCTTATGAGGAATTTGACCTGGTTAATCAAGGCCCCTTCGAGGGAGAAAGCAACGGTGACTACATGATGGCTGGTTGAAGATGTGTGTCCCCAGGAAACCAAACAGGCTGGAAGTTGGTGCTTAAGGAACCATCAGGTAGGTCTGTGAATGAAATCCAGGGTGAAAACCCACTGGGGAAATACAGGGGTCTGCATTGACTTTGGTCCCAGAGTTAGTGATCAGAGAGGCTCTGTCTCCCTAGCACCAAGAGCAGGGCCTAGCATGTTAACAGTTGCTCAATAAAAAGTTGTCAAATAGAGGCCTGTCCCCCTGATTTATTTTTATGGATTTCTCTGGTTACCATTCATTTGTCCATCATCCATCCATCCAAATATCCATCCAATATTTATATGCTTACTATATGTGAGGTGCTAAACTACAGGAGATTTAGTGGTAAGCAAAACGCATGCCCTCAAGTAGCATCAGTTACCTTTCTGTTTCAACAGACTTTCAAAGGAGAGGGCATGATAAATGGTGGGTTGTGCCGAAGTGGTGTGAACACACACTGCATTCTCACCTGCCATTACTATGCCAGAGCCTCTGCGCCTTTGGCAAGTCCTGGTGACTGCTCCAATTGAAGCCTCATGGTGTGTGCTTCTGAATCAAAACCTTCATCTTCCTGCCCAGATGTGGTGGAGGCTCCTGCCCAGCCTGAACAAGACACTGGCCAGCTTCACCCGTAATTCTGTTCGAAGCTATTTTGTCCTGCTTATTCCTTGGTTAAGGAACTAAACTAGGCTTTCCCCACCCTTTCCATTTCTCCTCATGCCACTTTATATTCTTTATTTTTTTTTCTGAGCAAGGAGCTGATCCAAGAAGGCACATCTTGGATGTGAAGATCTGGGGGACACATCAAGGCTACAATTTCCTAATGGTATGAAAACTTCCAGTTTCCTCTGTTAGAATGTTCACATCAGGAGAAGTCAGCCATTCTCCACGCAGCATCCCTGCTGTCCCCCCACCCCCCAACCCAATGGCCCCTGCAATTTTCTCTTGCTGCAAACAAGTAAGAAACAACTTCCCCCTCTAGCATCACTTCAAAAAGAATAATATAAATAAAGGGATCCTGGAAATTGTCTCTCCTCAAAGAGCAACATGACCACTTGTCCTAGATGCAGATGGGTCTATATGCTAGAGCATGGGCTGACATTTGGAGGGACCATTCTTTACTATTACTAGGTTTACCTTCTGTTTTCTTTTTAGTTCTATGTAGGTTTGTGGATTTTTTTTTTTAAAGAATCCCAGTTTCTGCCTTTACACAATGCTTTTCCCTAAGTGCAAATCCATCATTTGGTGACATTCAGACCTGAGTGTTTACATTACTTTGCCCTGCAATGTACTTTGCAAGATCATGTCTTTCGGCACTAGGTCATGGCTGTACATTACACACTGTAGACATAGTCACAGAATCCCTTCTGTTCACAGCTATTGCACCTGTATTTCCAAAGCATACAACTGAGAGCACCATGATGATTCTGATTTTCCTCAGTATTTGCATGAGAGGGGAGGACAGAGCTCATGATCCCCACTTTGAAGGTGGGGAGCCAAGGCACAGAGAGTTAATCTACCCAAGGTCACTCAGTAAGTCAGAAATAAACTAAACAAAGAGAAAGGTAAGATCACCTATCTACTTCTCAGTGCCTTCTCCAAGGAAACCACATTGTGTCCATCTCTAATGAGTATCCACACTTTGGAAGTGAGTAGTTTTACATGGACTTTCTATGAAGGCTTCCAAAGTCCTCCAGGGAATCAGGAATCACAAAGTAAGAACCAGCATTATATTAACCTTTTAGTTAAATAACCTTGATTCACAAACAAAGCCAATTACGACAGCTTACTGACAACCTGGCTACAGACAAGAAGACTCTTTGAGGGAAAAGTTCACCCATTCAAGAAATAAACATCTGAAGTGTAAGCACTGCTTCCTTCTACACAAAACTCCTGCACCTGTTTTAGTATGTGATCGTGAGAGGGGCACCGACAGTGTGTGTGTGTGTGTGTTTGTGAGCTACCAGGGAAAATCCTGTCCAGAAAAACATGAAATATGTTTAATATTGTAGTTCTATACCCTGATTCTTTTCTTCTTTTGGTAACTTTTATTTCTTGATCCTGATTGAATGTAAAAAGTAATGTTTTACCTCCCACCCTTCCTGAAGAAGGCAGAAGTCGGTGGGTGAATATGGCAGGGGTAGGTCAATTTCAGCTTCATGGAAGGGAAGCACTGGAGGTGGCCTGAAGACAACTAAATTGGGCTGTTTGGACCAGTTAGTGGCAAGTATTGTCCCCCAGAAGCGAAATGACCGTCTGTCTGTGATGCACTGCTCCTTCCAACACCAGGAATCCAGATTCCCAGAAACAAACTTGGTCAACAGCATCCCTCCTGCCTCCCAACTCCAGGTCAGTAAAGGCACAAAGAAGACCAACAAATAATACTGAGGCAGCGCTTTGGGTCCAGAGGACCATGAGGTACCAGAAGAGTGCTGATGGCCCCATCTGACCGATGGGAAAGGTGAGGCACAGAGAGACTGATTAAATGCTGTCAGTGATAGGTGAGAGGGAACCAGGAATTGAAAGGGGGGGATTCTTTTTCCTCACTTGGGGAGGGGAGATGATACACCACCACACAACTCTCCACATTAAAGAGGCAATTCCGGCTCTTCAGCCACCATAGCAAATTGCCCTCAGAACAGCTGTGGTGATTCCTTCATAGAGTGAATCCTACACTACAAATTCTCTGGGGCCCACCCTTGGGACTGCATCAAGAGCTGGAGAATTAGGCAGGATTGGCCTGGGCAGGCACATAAGGTACTCTGCTTTTAAGGCATGGCCACTGTCTCCAAGGCAGGGGTTCCACATTGGGAGGTGGCATCAGACAGATTCCCCCAAAACTACCCTGCAAGAAAACTTAATTGGAACCCTGCTGGCTAAGGTACCTGCCTCCTTCCCCCTCACCCCATGCAGTGCTGGAGGCTTCCACTACAGCTAAATTGCATCACCAAACCAACTGATGTCTTGGGTCACTTGGGAGAACAAGGAGAGAGAGACACACTTATTATTTGCAGATGAATGTCTAACTAGAAAACCTAGAGGAATCAACTGAAATACTATCAGAACTAAGATCAGAATTTGTCTGTGGTAGATTAAAAGTCACGCACACAAAAGCCAATCCCTTTTTGGGTCACATGGATGTGAGCTTACACCTTCAAAGAGCTGTGCTTTTCTTCCAAGCCCTTGAGCTTTGTGCAACTTGCCATATTTTTAGAAATGGAGGTGAACCAGCCAGGGAGATGCCTCCTCAGCTGCTTAAGGGGAGGCACCTTGAACACCAGCCTGGGGTGACTGCTACGGAATGGGGTAGTAATCTCTGGACTCTGAGGGGGTTGGGGGGGCGGAGGAGAGAGGCTTTCCCCAGCCTTTTCTATTTCAATCCAAAAGATGCAACTTGGCAAGGGACCTGTGTAAGAAACACCAAGAATGGATGTGGTCAAAGATTGTGCTATGTCATTTCCAAACGAAGTCAGTTTTTTAAAGCAAAGGCAACAGACTGGTCTTGTAAGTCTGTCCTTCCATTGCTTCAGAGGTCAAAAGCCTGAGAAGGCCATGGTGCTGCGCCCCTACGGGGGCGCTCGCACGATATGGTCAACGTGGCTGAGAGGCCCCACGGGGCTGCGTGTGACTGGACGTCCAGCGCGGGGCGGCGGTCATTTGCGGTCCAAGCTGGCGTGCAACTGGGCCTCCCGCACCATGCGGTCGAAGGAGCGCGTGTTGGTTTCCTCGCGAACCTTCTCCCGCACGTGGAAAGAGGCCCGGGCTGTGGAGCGCGCGCTCTCCAGCGCGCAGCGTCGCTCCCGAGACAGCTGCTCGCTGCGCTCCAGCTTGCGCCCGATAGCCTGGAGCAGCTCCCGCCGGCGGCTGTCTTCGTCCCTGTCCACCTTCTCCTTGTTGGCGCGCTGGGTCCGCTCCTTCTCCAACCGATTCTGGCCCACCCGCCGCGCCTTCTGCTGCACCGCCTCCTCTGCAGCCTGCGTCGCGTGCTGCAGTCGCCGCTCGCCTACCCGAGCCAGCGCCTCCAGGTGGGCCTGATGCTCCCGGTCTTTGCGCTCCGCAGCCTCCTTGGCCCGCCGGCCCTGCAGCTCCTCTCGACGGGCCCGCTCCCGCAGATCCCGGGTGCGCTGCTCCACCAACTGCTCATAGTTCTCCTGCGCGCGGCCCAAGCTGGCCTCTAGGGAGCTCCTCAGTCCCTCTCGATCCTCCTGCTCCTGGCGGACCCGGCCTTGTAGCAGTGCCGCGTGGCGCGCCCGCTCCGCCCGGCTCAGCTCTCGCTTCTCGCGCTGCAGCTGGCCCTCCTGCCGCTGCTTGGTGCGCGCCACGCGCTGGGCGCGCTCCCTGCGGACCCGCTCCGCCCGTTCTCGCCCTTCCTTCAGGCCCTCCTCCCGCTGCTTCAGGTTCTGCTCCTGCTGCAGCTTGCGCAGCCGGTCCTCCTGGGCCGCGCGCTCCGCCCGCTCCCGCCGTAGCAGGCCCTGGTGCTCCGCCAGTTCCCGCCGCCGCTCCTCGCTGCGCTCGTACTGCCGCTGCCGCTGCCGCGCCACCTCCCGCTCCTCGCGGCCGCGGCGACCGCGCCTCTCCTCCACCTGCGCGGCCCAGGCCCGGCGGCCCTTCTCCAGCGAGCGCTGCTTCTCGCGCTCCTCGCGCTCCCGCCGCTGCTCGGCGCGCACGCGTTGCTGCTCCCACTGGCCGTGGGCCGCGGCGCGCTGCTCCAGCAACAGGCGCTCCTCCTGGTGCCGCGCCAGCATCAGCGCCGCGATCTTGCGGTCGCGCTCGGGCACCCCGCGCAGGCCCCGCTCCACGCGCACTTGGCGCACGATGCGCTCCACGTGCTGGGCGGTCTGCGGCGAGTGGCTCAGGTCGCCGAGGCTGAAGCTCCGGCTTGTGATCGGGACCAGGGCCAGGGCGGACGGGCGCCCCACCGGGTTGGGGGCGGACGACGCGGACCCGCCGGGTAGCTGTTCCTGGCCGAGCCCCGCGACGACCAGGAAGACGACGACGCGCCGGACTCAGAGCTGAGGGCGCCCTCTCGCCGGCGGGACAGCGAGTCCAGCGAGTGGCTCTTGCGACCTCCCCGCGAGCCCGCGGGCGGAGGTTGGGTCCGGGCTGGGGAGGGGCTGGAGGAGGCCTTGCGGGTCGCGCGCGGCTTGGGCGAGGCCGGGAGGCTGGCGCTGCTGCAGCTGCTGCTGCTGCCGCCCGCGCTAGAGGCCGAGGCCGCCGTCGCCGCGGGGCCCAGCGGCGTGAAGAGGCGCCGCTTCTCCTCGCGCACGATGCGCTCGCGTTCGGCCCGGCACTGCTGCAGCTTGGCGCGTCGCTCCGCCTCGTAGGCCTCGTACAGGCCGGTGGCCACTCGCATGGAGCGGCCCGGTGCCTCGCGCACCAAGTCGGCCAGGGCCCGTGGCAGCAGCTCCACGGGCTTGACGGCGCAGCGGGCGCAGGCCTCCAGCGAGCGGGGGCTGGTCAGCACGTAGCGGCTGCCCTCGGCCTCCGGACAGTCGAAGTTGAAGAGGTCGAGGTGCAGCATCGGGGACTGCTCCCGCCTCCCACCTTCGGCGCTGCACGGGACTTCAGCCTTGCGGGGCGCCGCCGCCGAGGCCGAGGCCGAGGATGCCGCAGGCTGCTGGGCACCCTGGGCATCTGGGGGCACCGAGGCGGCGGCACCTTCCCCTCCTGAGCCTCCGGGCTCCTCTCCCGCCTTCTCCTCTTGAGGCACGGGATCCACCATGGCTGAGTCTTTACGCAGAGTCTGCGGGGGACGAGGGAGGGACATTGAGGAATGCATTTGAAAGCGGTTCTTCCCTCCCCGTTCATATTCACTTTTTCCCAGCTTAATCCGCTTTAGGATTAAGCTCAGAGGCCCGGTGGAAAGTAAATCATAATACCGATGCCCTAAAAATCCTTGGGGGGAAGAGGGGACTGGCGTGTAGCGAGCAGACTTCATCTGTCTTAGCCCCTTAAATCCCCCCTATGTAAGTGTAGGACCGAGGCCTTTGGCCAAGCTCCCCTGGGCGTCGGGCCCCCTAGTTGCAATATTCCTTCCAGCTGCAAGTTAAGATGAAAAGATCGAGGTGCAGGCGGTAGCCGACCGGGGAGGCTCTGGAGGATTCCCAGGAGGATTAGGGTATTTGTTTGTAGCTTAGGCGGGCGACCTGGGATGCAGCTTTGTAGGAACAAAAAAATGGAGAGGCCGTTCATCCCCAAAGCGCATTGCTGCAGTGGCCCCATTTGCTTAGGGAAGAAATTGCGGGTTGACTCCTGCTGCCCACGGAGACTCAGGCCGGGAAGGATGCAAGGGCTGAGAGAAATGTCTCATCCCCAAAAGGCCTCTCGGGGAGGGGTGATGGAGTCTCCATCCTGCCTCTTGGGCAGGGCTTACCAGGAACAGTGCACGCCTTCCAACCCCCAACCCCCAACCCCCACCGCCGGGTGTTTGCTGGGGATGGAGAAGGTGTCTGGGTTCTCCCAGATGCAGCTGATCCCCTCCGAGTCTGAATGTGCTAGAAGCACCGTGCATCCCGGTCTAGGCTCGGACACCGACCTCCCGATGCCCTCGAGGTCCCCCCACTATGTCTCAGCGAGATGGACTCCTGGAGCTCAATGAGCAGGGCCAGGCCAGTGCTGGACGCTCCGGGTCCCAGGGCGGGCTCACTCACCGCAGGTCCCGAGCTCCGGCCCCGCGCGGAGGCTTTTGTTCGCAGTGGCCGCTCTCGGTGGAGCCTCTTCGGTCCTCCCGCCGGCGGGGTCGGGTTACTGCCGGCTGCAGCCGCTGAAGGAGCCTCAGCTGCCAGCGCAGGCACCGCCAGCGTCTCTCCAGGGGCCAGCGCACCCCCCAGACGCTACCTACACGCGGGAGGGGGAGTGCGACAAGGTCTCCCTAAAATAACGCAACTCTCTGCTCTTCCCTCACAGTGATTTTTATAAAAGGAAGCAGCCGGGCTCCATCACCGCAGCATCCATCGCCGCCTCTCCAGCCGGGAAGGTACCGCAGGTCTTCCGAGGCCCCCGGCGCCTCCTGGTGGTCGCCCAAGGGTGTTGGTTTGTTTGCTTAGAGGGCGAAGGAGACTTGAAAATAAAATTCTCTATAAAATGTATATACGATTTATATATGAAGGAGTCTCACCAAGACACCCTATTCTTTTTTTTTTTTTTTTTTAGAGGCATGTTTTATTTATTTATTTGTTTGTTTGTTCATTTGTTTTTGTTTATACATGCACTGGGTACAGTCAGAAGCGCGGGAGGGTGAGAGAATTCACCAGAGCCAGAGCGGGGAGCAGAACAGGCAGAGGGACCGAAGTACACTGCTGAGGGGAGCAGCGGGTGGCAGGAGAGGTCTGCGCACCATGTGGGACCCTCCTCCGGTGGCCGGGGAGCAGCCGGGAATCGAACCGGCGCCGCAGAGGCTGCGGGCAGCTTCGCAACCCAGCGCTCTACCGCTGCGCCACCGGGGAGGCCCCCCTATTCTTTTTTTAATATAATTTTTTTTTTATTTTTATGTTCCCCATACAATTGCGACCCCCTTATTTTGACCCCAATCCCTCCCCTCCCCACCCCCCACCTCCTATAGAGTGTCTCTGGTTCATAGTTGTTTGTTGATTTTGATTTTCACTTTCTTATAGTTATTCATTTTCCCGGTCCCTTATTTAAGTTTTCTAGATTCCTGCTATGAGTGAGGCCATCCGGTATTTTTCTTTTTCTTTCTGGCTTATTTCGCTGAGCATGATCCCTTCCAGCGCCGTCCATGTTGCTGCAAATTGCATGTGTTTATCTTTTTTGAATGCTGAGTAATATTCCATGGTGTATATGTACCACATCTTCTTGATCCAGTCATCTATTTTTGGGCATTTGAGTTGTTTCCAAAGCTTAGCTATTGTAAATAGTGCTGCTATAAACATAGGGGTGCAGGTGCTCTTTGGAGTTGATGTTTCTGTGTCCTTTGGGTAAATACCTAGGAGTAGAATTGCTGGATCATATGGAAGCTCTATGTTTAGTAGGTCCAGAAATCTCCACACAGCTCTCCACAGTGGTTGGACCAGTTTGCACTCCCACCAGCAGTGCAGGAGAGTTCCTTTTTCTCCACACCCTCGCCAACATTTGTTGTTGCTAGTTTTTTTAATATGTGCCATTCTCACTGGTGTGAGATGGTATCTCATGGTAGTTTTGATTTGCATTTCCCTGATGACAAGTGATGTTGATCATTTTTTCATATGCCTGTTGGCCATTTGCATTTCCTCTTCAGAGAAGTTTCCTTTTAGCTCTTCTGCCCATTTTTTGACTGGATTATTTTCTTTGTTGTTGCTGAGTCTCATCAGCTCTTTGCAGATTTTTGTGATCAGTCCTTTATCATTAGTGTTGGGTGCAAAAATGTTCTCCCAGTTGGTGGGGTTTCTCTTTGTTTTTGTTATTGTCTCTTTTGCTGTGCAGAAGCTCTTTAATTTGATGTAGTCCCAGCTGTTGATCTTTGCCTTCACTATCATTACTTTGGGTGATGTGTCTGTAAAGATGTCTTTGATGTGCATATCATGTAGTGAAGAAAACCTATTCTTTTAGCACCTTCACTGGGTAGAATGAAGGAATAGCTCTATCTATTTCTTGGGGGTCCCTGAGAAGCAAACAAACTCGATAGTGAATAATTGGGTAGAAATATGGCTTCTGATCAAAATTATGATTTACTTTTTAAAGAAAAGCCAAGAACAGATAGGCCTGAGGAAGACAGAAGATGTGTGCCTCACGCCTGGTGCTTAATGCAACATTTTAGTACTTCCTGATTCCAGATAATACAAATGAAAACCAACTAGTGCTACTTAATATGATGCTGAGACACCTCGCCCCACCTCTTTCCCCTCTTTTGAGTGGTAGTGGCCATAGGAGGGAGATGGGAGGAGTACTTGGGCGAGGACTTCAGGATGGGAGGACGTCACCCTACAGAGCATGGTGAACTCTGCTGTTAATAACTATGACATTTTCACACAGGCAGTGAGGAACAGGGAAAGGCTTAAGGCAGAAAAATGACATGATTTGACTCTACTTCTATTTTAGGGCCATAACTCTGGCCTCCTAAAGCGGAGTGAGTGCTTTAGGAGGGCGGTAAGGAGGTGGGAATCCCAGTTAGGGGCTACTGCAGTCACCCCTGGCAGGAAGGACTGGGGCCTGAGCAGGGACAATAGTAGGAGGAGTGGGCCTGGGGGAGCTGGGAGTACACAGACACCTGAAATAGAGCGTAAAAGAAAAGAGCTGGGCGTCCCCAGTGGCGCAGCGGTTGAGCGCTGGGTTGCGAAGCTGCCCGCAGCCTCTGCGGTGCTGGTTCTATCCCTGGCTGCTCCCCAGCCACCGGAGGAGGGTCCCACATGGCGCGCAGACCTCTCCTGCTGCCCGCTGCTCCCCTCAGCAGTGCACCTTGGTCCTTCTGCCTGCTCTGCTCCCCGCTCTGGTTCTGGTGAATTCTCTCACCCTCCCATGCTTCTGACTGTACCCAGTGCTTGCATAAATAAATAAATAAATAAATCTTTTTTTTAAAAAAAAAAAAAGATGCAACCTATGAAGCTATCCGCAGCCACTCCAGCACGAATTCAATTCCCAGCCAGGGAGCTATCCACATGGCGCAGCAAACCTCTCCTGACTCTCCTGCTGGTCCCTCAGCAGTGTATTTCAGTCCGTCTGCCTGTTCTGTTCCCCACTCTGTCTCTGGTGAATCCTCTCACCTTTCCACACCTCTGGCCTACACCCCAGCTCTTGTATGCAGAAATAAATAAACTTTAAAAAAATAAGGGAGGTCAGTAGGCCTTTGCTGAGGCTGCTAAAGGAAAATATTTCCATGAAGGGGGCCACCAATGAGGACAGGCAGGTAAGTGTGATCTTGCAGATGCTGACATTGGGCACTTCACCAGGAGGGTGCGCCCCCTAGTGTTAAGATCTTAGAGTTCCAAAAACATTCCATGGGGATTCAAATAACCACTGAAATGCAGCAAGAGGGTCTTAGGGAATATCAGTAAGAGTAGCATCATATTATACTGGCGTTGATACCGAATTCAGGGGTTGAGGTCAATGGGAGGTGAGAAAGTGAGAGTTACTCACTCTTGATATTTGGATAAGAGTGTTAAGGACTATGAAGTGTTTGAGATTTTATCCTACACACACGCTAACACATTAGCCTGCCACAGTTTCATAGATGATGGCAGAAGACCAGAAAGTCCTGGGTCAGAAACAGAGGACTTTGTCACTCACCATATAGCAGGCAGCATGAGGTTCATGTTTTTGTTGGCTCCCCTTGCTCCATGGGGCAATGGAGTGGTGGACCCAGATAGAGAGAGCATATATAGTGTTTTCATGTCACAGCTGAGTGACCCTAAGCTTAGCAAGACCTAACCATTTAAAAGGAGCTACTAGCAAGCCTGATCAAACTTTGCTCCAAGGGGAGATATGATCTTTATGATCCTGGGTGGAAGATTAAATCTTCCCTCTGTCTTATAGGGAGACTTCATCTCTATCTTCCAAGGATGTTTGCTATTGACAATAAACAATGATAAAATAGTTACCATTTATTTTGATAAACCTCATCTTACAAATGTGTTCAAATTAAATAAAGAGGGCCTCCCCGGTGGCGCAGCGGTTGAGCGCTGGGTTGCGAAGCTGCGCGCGGCCTCTGCGGCGCCGGTTCGATCCCCGGCTGCTCCCCGGCCACCGGAGGAGGGTCCCACATGGCGCGCGGACCTCTCCTGCCGCCCGCTG